CCCACCCTGTGCAATGAATGTAATAAGATCAAACTGGTTGAAGTGGCTGACATAAACTAGATGCTCTCTTTCTCAAGCATGGAATAAAGGCTATAGAGTACAACAGTTTAATTTGCAAAAGTTTCCCCTTGGACCTGTCAGTGCATTTTATTTTCAGCATCTTCTAAAGCTTCAGGACAGCTGTAAGTCTCCCAGCAGCAATTGGGTATGTGCATAGGAAAGATCCACAGGGATGATGACTATCTAAGAAAATTGAAAAGTGCACAGTAAAGTAAAAAAGTTGTACTGTGTGAACGAGATGGTTCACATGCGTAGCAAATAGTGCAAACTGGGCTACTGGATAAATCTTTTGTCATTAGAATAGGGGCTTAATTCCTATTGAACTCTGAGCAAAGGCAAATGGGAGTGAGTGAGGCCAGCCTTTGCTATCTTGCACAGGAGAAAAATGAGCCCACTTTGATTTCTTTTCCTATATAAATAATCACTTCTTTCCACACAATTGCATCTTTCTGAAAATACACTTTTTCTCATCTCTGTTCACCTTGACTGTTCACTTTTCCAAGCAGGGACAGCCTCCTAACTTAGGGCCACATATACCATTTTGGCTACAGCTGTGCAGGAGGTGAACAGTGACAATTCAAGGTGCTTGTCAACTCTCCTCACTCCACTGCCAAAGATTACTAGCCCCTCAGGTCTCCCAGCAGAGCTGCTCTGGGAGCTTTGACTATCCTGGAGCCATCAGAATAATCTTGGTTAGAAAGCCTATTATTTGGAGTATTGAAACTAACATCTTATTATGAAGGAAAGGAGTTTGGGGAGACTACACGTGCCAGCAGATACAAAGAAGGAACAGCCCCTGGAGCTGATGGAAGGGCGTGGTAAAGGGTAGGTGGTGCTAGGCTTATTGCAGATATTGCAGAATATTACAGATAATTGCAGACATGAGGGAAAGAATAAGTAAGCAAATCCCATAATCTCACAGAGGGAGACTGCAGTTTAGCTAGGAATCTGATCCAGATTCCCTCTGTACCAGTGCTTCCCTTAGAGCAGCATAAACATGCTTCTGCTTGACCTTAGTCCAGGCCACAGGGCTCATCTGCAGTTAAAACAAATCTTAAAACAACAGCAGCCACAGCTGCTAGCAACATCAGATGAAAGTGCGAGGAGAGAATGCATCAGCAGCCAACTGACATGACATGCCACTGGGTCGCTGGGGCAGCAAAATGATGGAGGTTCCAGGAACTGTCCCGCCACCAGAACCCATTTGTCTTAACACCTCTGGGCACACCGCACTTCATCTGAACTGTGAATGTCTTCCTTCCCTAAATGTAATTTTAGTTTTGTACCTTTTCTTGAGAGTTGTCAGAGCCCATGGACACATTTTTTTTTTTGTAAGAATGCTGGCTCAGCATGAACCAGAGAGCAATTACATGCAACTAAGCTCAGAGTCCTGACAAACACTGATGTAACACAGCGTACTAGACTGGATCCAAGCCATTTGTTTTATTATATTACACCTTTCAGGTGCTTAATCCTTCCTTCCCTGTTCATCCTTGGCCTTTCATTTCACATCCTGAGCAGAAGCCCTACACAAGTGATTGAAGGCAAATTACCAGCCTCTGATCCCCCACACTGCTGTGACTTGTGTCAATTTGTAGCTAGAGTGATTTGGTAATCCAAATCAAGGCAATAATCTGATCTGTGGGGAACAGCACTCTAACACTGCTGTGCTGAGTGGCCACAACGGTACAAGCACTGTCAGCTTTTCCCAGCAGCTTTTTGACCTACTGAATCCTGCACACGTATATTGAGCAACTGATGACACAGGGAAAAGTCTGACACATTCAGGCTGTTAAAAGGCACAAAACATATACTTTAGGTCCCAAGAAGATGCTCCAATTAAATTCCATTTTTGAACAAGAGTATATTTAGCCCAGCTATTATTAAAGTTTACTGCTACATAGTGTGAACTTCATGTATTTGAAGAACATTTTAATGAACAGAAAGAAAAATATTTATGTTTGTGGATAACATTCAGATTATAAGAAAGGATGGGGGGAGTATCCAAAGGTTGAAAGGTATATTTCAGTTAAGCACATGAAGGATGGACATTTACCCAGGCCTTCTGAGGCTGCAGGATTCAATTTGTGTAATGAAAGGCTCTCAAAACACCTGGGCTGCTTGGTTCAGTTCAGTCAGGCTGAAAAGTACTGCATGGCCCTGCATGCAGAAAATCTGATACTTTTTTAATATCCACTGAGATTTCTTACAACATCAACACTGGAAGACAGGCTAAAAGTTTTCTTTCAAATATGATATGAATAAACCATGTGATTCATTAATTATGTCTCTTTAGCAAGTAAACAGGTACAGAAGGTCTGCCAACTTGGCTTTATAGAATACCTGAAAAATAACACAGAACAGAAAGAAAGAAAAACTGGCTTATTAACTCCCATCACCTGAGATCTTATGGTAGTACCAAAGATTATTTCACACTATTTGTATTCGAAGGGTCATTAGCACTTTAAAAAGCAATGCCAGTATGTACAAGAAGTATGTACAGTACTGAGCTTGAAAAAGCTCAATGTAAGATACCGAATGAATGCTGGCTACAGACAAAAAAGCAAGCTTGCCTCTACTCTCTTTTATTCAGAGTTGAAAAATGTAAACTAAGAATTAGGGAGAATTATTCTACCACAGCTGAAGATGGGACATGCAGGTAGGTTGTGTGTATGTATGTGTTGGAAAGGAGAAAGAGAAAAAAAAAAAAAAGGAGGAGAAAAAGAAAAAAAGTCCCTAAGAAGTGCTTGATAACAGAGCAAAAATCTGTTTCTAAAACTTTGGCCATATCCTTTCTTTAGAAGAAAAAAAGAAAAGGTTGAAAATGATCCCTTTTTCCACCTCTGCTGTCCCTCTTCATATCCTTCATTCTCCCAATCCGTGTATTTTTCAGTGACCTATTTGTTGGTATACTACAACCGCCAACACATTAATGTGATAAAGCAGCAGTTAATATTACTCCAGTCTTTCCATTTGGTCCTACTAAGAGCACAGTGTCAGCTGACAATTTATCTTCCTTGAGGTCCCCCACCTGCTGCATCCGACCTTCTGATTCATGTTATTACTTCACAATGTATTCCAGCCAGCAAGCCTCAACTTCATGACTCTCTCTACAATACCAGTTCTGGGTTGTAGAACTTTTCTCCTTGTTCCAAGCTGAACGAATGCCAGCTGAAACCAATGCTGCTCAGCAAGAAGAAATGCTTAAAGGTCCACCAAGACCTTGTCACCACTCCCTTATTGATGACACAGTTACCCAGCAAAACATACAAAACCATGTACTCCTAGCAGCCCCTGCTCAGCTAAGATTACCAAACAGCACCAATGATAAAAAAAAAAATATGCATTTCTTTCACTTTTAGCTTCCTAGAAACCATGTCCTTTCCTCTGAGTCTATCCACAGTAACCTATGCCTCTGTCATTTTCAGACTGGTTCATTACACCTGGCTTTACCTGAAGTTGAACATGAAAATGATACACAAAGAAGCCAGAGAGCCAGCCCTCTCTACAGTTCATCTTCAACATCAGACCATATCATTCTAACAAACTGGGCCTTCCCCCAAAAACCCAATCTACTGCCAGTATCAGTTTGAGGCTTGGATCCACAATTTTAAAGTGCCCAAGAAATCTCATTTTAGTTCTATTAGAGATCAGACTGCAATCTGTAAACCAAGACACAACCTGTGTTCCTCAGGAGCAAAGCCAATCAGAAAGATACAGGCTGAAAAGAAGGAAAAGAAAAAGCACTCATTGAAAAGGACAACAAACACTCTGTAGAACAGAGAAACCTACAGGCAGACCCACCTTCAGGAAGAGTGGCAAAAGCCTGTTTTCTTTCTGTAAGAACTACAATTTGAATACCCTAATGCCAGTATCACAAAAAACCAAAACAAAAATCCAAACCAAACCAGAACTGGACCCAAAAACCCCAACCCACCCCCCAAATCTATCTAAATACTATTTTCAATTTTTGACTCTACCAGAGATGAGTCAGAATTGCCATGAGTTAAAAAATGGATGTTGCTACTGATTTGATGTGGAGGCTGCTCAAATGTTATCTAGGCATTATCACTGTTGATTTTCCCTTCTTTATTTTCAGTTCTTAAAAAACAATCAAGCTGCTCAGAAACAAATCAAGTAAAATGGTAAAAGGCAGCAGCAAAAAGTGGTTTGCTGCTTTAGCACTTCAGACTTCGTCAAACATCTACACAGCTGTGTCAGCTCAATTCCCCCAAAGACCAGCGATGCCACCTGACTTGAACCTTCTTGTGCTCATGCTGAAGAATATTATGGAAGTAGCCTTTCCACTCAATCCAGTTACGCTTGGTTACTTTGCAACTATGGAAAGTAAGACAAGGTTGCTAACTACAAAAATCACCTCAGTAGAGGAGTTACAAAATAAACACAAGCTAAGCCTGCACTCTTCCCCCACTATCACCTGGAGGAAAGAGCTGGCACATTGAAGATGGTAAGGCACATTCATAAAGCATTTTGCCAGTTTAACAATGCAACTCACATTGACATCAATTAACATAGAGTGAAAACAATGGGAAAATTTGGTGTTACGATATTTGAATGCTCAGCATCAGACACATTTTTATAATGAAACTGAATTATGGACACAATTCAAGAACAAACCCAAACCAAACAGGCCTAAATCAATCCCTATTCTGGATAAATTTACAAGTTAAATATATGCTTAAGTGTTATACAAAACAGAGATATTCACTGTGTATCAGCAGCAACTCACATTATCTGGTTGAAAAAAATGTTGCCATCAAAAGCTGGATTTTATTGCAGTATATCAGAGAATCATGATAGCTGTAAAGCTGTTGCCTTAAAACCTAATCTGTTAATGGCACAGAATTTTAATTATGTGATATTCTCTAGGACTACACACACTTCGTACTGATAGAAAATTATATATATACTACTTTTACCTGGAATTCTATTTTTTGCCAAATGTGAGGCACAATAAACTGTTTCAGGAAGCGTTCATCTTCACTCCAGAACAGTCGGATGTCTGGGATATCATACAGGATCATGGCCAACCTCTCCAAACCCAAGCCAAATGCCCAGCCAATTTTATCTTGAGCACCAGCTGCAACAAACAAACAAGATAAAAAGTCAAGAGCTTAAGTTTACAACATGAGAAATTGCTGATAAAATGTTCACCTGTTTACCAAGAAAAAAAAAGGTGCACTGTCAAGACAGAAAAGCCTACAAGTAACTGCCAAATGAAAGATCTAAAGGCAACAGGACAGATCCTACTTCTATCAAAAATGCAGCAAGACTGGGCACATCACTGAGTCCAGGAGACAGAAGTGGTAATAAAATAAAGCTGCATCCTTGGCAATTTGTGTCCAAAGTTTCAGATAGACTTTGAGAGATGCTGCATAACACTATACACCTCTTTCCCTTACCATCCTTATAGCTGAGCACTTCCAAACCTGATTCAGTTGTGTTTTATAAGACATATAAACATTAATTTTGTGTTCATTATATTTTACTTGGCCTGACAGACAAGGCCAAGCCTATGAAGCATTTATGCCATTACCAACATTTGAGAGGATCAAAATTGCCTCTTCTGAGGCATTTGGAAGAAAAAGAGCAATGGGATGTGAGCTGCTGTCGCATTAGCATCACACCTCCAACCAGGGAACTCTGGGATTCTGTCCCTGGGAAAAGCCACTGCTCTCACTTACACGTCTCTCTTATGCAGCACTAAATATAAAAAGACAAGAATATTTAATACAGAAGAGCTGCACAGATATTAACGATGCAACATTTCTGTCAGGAAAGTAAATATTCATACCTTCCTTCATTTACAGGGCAGGAGCACTGAGCCATTAAACAGGGATCTTTTCAACACCAAGAACCAACTCCACGTTTAACCATCAGCCTACTGATTTTGAAATAAGCTGAGAGCCCAGCAAAGGCTCAGAGCTTTTTAAAACTTAAACAAATGCCTAAATAAACACACTTATGCTGAAAGGATGCGTGCACGTGTGACAGACTTGACTCCTCACCATCAGCACTGGCAGTACGCTCCTGAGTCATATCACTCTACATCTCGCAGCTATCCAGCTACACCAAGGCCTTCCCTGCCTCTCCCAGTATTCATTTAAACTCTTATTTTTGGAAACTTTGAACTTGGCAGCTTCCCCACCATGCTGCAGGAGGCTGGAGGCAGAAGTCTACTTTCTAACCCCTGTCTCTGCTATCAAAGGAGATGGTTCCTGTTATTTGGGCACTGATGACACCCTGAGGCATGCTGTCACTTTCAATGCTGAGGCATTGAAACAGTCCAGAGTCCTGTTTAAATAGAGGCAGGCATAGGGAGCTTGGGAAAAAAGACACAGTCATCACTTTGATTCTTCTAATTTATTTCAGCCTATTTACCTGGAATACCAGGTCCTCAGCAGAACCTCTCTGTGACTCATCTGCAACCTCAGAACTATTGCACTGCCACAGGAATTTGGTCAACTTCATGGAGTACTTCCCAGAGGACTCTGGATGTTCTGCCTTGTCCTTTCTCATGTGTTCATAGGCAAGACTTTGCACTTTCTGACCTTCGAAAGCAATTTATCAGTGGAACTGTGGAAGTCCTAAGAAACAGAGGACTGGGTGTGAACTCAGAAGGTACCTCATAGCAGAGATGCTCAAACTAGTGTCTTTAGACCAACCAACAGACTTTGAGATAACCTGACCTTGGAAACCTATGATCCATGACACATTACATGAAGAACTGCACAGTTTGCTCCTGCTGATTGAGTTCTTTTTTAGAGAAAGGATAGTGAGTACACAGAATGTATTGAAATTTGTCTTTGGGAGAGATTATGAGCTTTGACTTTAAACCATAAACTATTTCTTTTCCAAGCTGAAAGTACTATTTCTCTCCATACTCTAGTATATAAAAGTAATTATATTTTTATCGCTATGAAGAAGGGAAGATAATTCATTGCAATGGTGTTGCTTCCCCAAATTTCCAGCTTGTCTGTCTTAGATCAACTCCTGTCTCGGTAACAAAACTATTAATTTCAAAAGTGCCAGACTTTCACATACATACGGATTTTTCTGTAGACTAATTAACACAATCAACTCCCTTCTCCAGAGGTAAACTAGAGCACCTGGAGCAGTATCATGAGGGTTTTGAACAGTCACTGCTTAATCTCAACAGAGGTGCTAAACCTGAAACCTAGAGATGACAGGTTAAGCATTAGTGTTAATTAATTCACTGATGCACATTTAAGTATACATGATAGGGGGTAATGATCCTCCTTCCCCATGTTACTGATGATTACTGGTAGATTGGACAGGGAAAAAAGGATATGACAGATAAGCAGAATGGATGTATATCCTGATAAGCAAAGATTTACATTTAAGATTTGTGGGTTTTAAGTATTTTGATAGAAGAATGGCTTTTATAGTAACTCTTTTAACCTCACACTTTATACCTAATTGATTTGCTATGTACTTTAATTCTTCAATGACTGTTTTGATTTTATATCAGGGGTTTTTTTGGTTGGGTTTTGTTTTAGAAGAACTGGGACAGATCACAGGTTTTTGCACTATGAGGCAGACAAAAAACTCTTTATCCAGCTATCTGCCTAGCAGCTCAGAGCATTGTCATCTGAGCTATGAATAAACACCTAGTCTCAGAACTTTGACTTGGATGATCCTAATATAATTACCAACCTTCAGATCGTGAGCTTCTCAAGTGTCCGCAAAGCCATATTAGTGAACATTTCCCTCTACTTGTAGAGAGAGAGAAAAAAAAAAAAGAAAAAGGAGAATTGAGATAATTAGAATTTCTCCTCAGATCAGCACTGGCAAATCTCCACTGCACTCCAAATCTTCAGTTACTGTGTCACTGATCTCTCCTCCAAATTTCTATTTGCAAAGTTCCAAGTTAACGTAGTGTTGACTTAAAGCATCTGAAGAACTACCTTGAAGAACTCAACAAGACTAAAGCATGCTTCTAAACATATTTCTGACTGGAAATGACCAGGTGGCTTAGAAGTGAAACGTGCAGTTAACCACCCTGTTGAGTGAGAGAACAACACAAAGATTTTCACAGCACATATGTATGTTTAAATACACTGAATTTTGGCAAGTAGTATGCAAAGAAGTCAAGTGAATGTGAGTCAACATGACAGAAAGAACAAATACAGAATAGCTTTAAATGTGGCAAAAAACAGGTTGAGATTCTGACGAGGAGACCTGGCCAAAGTGGCAGATTCCAGGGACCTGGTGGAACAATCATATCATCACCGCTTGAAATAACACAGCTCAATGGATAAAGCTTTCTGACACATGAGATTTCCCCAGCTGGCCCTCAAAGGTTTCTATGTTGCCAGGCTTCTGCTGCCTCAACATGAAAAACTTGACTACCCACCAGAAGAAAATTGCTGGAAACTTTGCATGTCAGGTAGCCAAAGATAGAAAAGGAAAGGATAAAATGGTTTGACTGACTTCCCACACTGGTGGCTGAGACAGTCCAATCTGACTCCAGAAGGCTGCATCATTGCAGGTGTGTCTTACACAGGAGCTCAAGTGTCCTTCCTTGAGAAGTTACATCTATCTGTCCTGCTCTTGAGCTTTGAGCCCAGATGAATCAATTTACACTTAAATGTAGACTGGTCAAATCATTCTCCAAAAAACCTTGTTAAATGAAAGCTAAATTTGATCAGCCAGGCTGGGAAGCTTCATAATTACTCACTGAGGCATATATAATGACCTGCCAGAATTTATGGATTATATCCCACTGAATCCTCAGAAATACCCACAGACAAAAATGTTTGCCTTCAAGAAGTGTGAGGCAAGACATTTTGCACTGTACAAGATTTTTACGGCATATTTTACAACATAGTGTTAGGAACATGTTGACAAAAATTTTTTGTTATTCACTTCAGTCACACTTGGTTTTGTATCTATGCTGGCTTTTATTTAACAATTTTCGCTACTCCTGTAAAACTGCCAATAAAGAAATCTTTCTTTCAATAAAGCCTAAATTGGGCCTTCAAATTGTTATACTCAGCAGTTACTGAGAAGAAATTAAATTTTGATCTTGGATTGAGGCAAAGTCAGAAGCGTACAACAGCCTGCATATAAGGAGTTCTTCACAAAATGCCCGAAAATGAATATACACAAAGTGCATGTAGCTGAAAGCTGGCATGAGTTCCAGAAGCAAAGACCTGAATTTCATCTCCTGCTTTCAGTCCAAATCATGGCTGTTAATGGAAAAAATTCAGGATCTAAAATGGTGGGAAGAGGGGTGAACAGATTTTCAAGGATACACAGACTTCATATAATGTTTTATAAAACAAATCAGTGCTTTATACTATATAGAAGGTAAGTCACAGACATAATGAACATGGGACTTGACACAAACCAAGAAATTCCTGAAACAAAGACCTATGCTCACATTTGAGCTCTATGTGATTAATGGATAGCCTATGAACAAGGCTTTGAAAAAGAGCTTCTGCAAAATACATATTTATTCATTGCTAGAGACTGGAATGCACATTCTACATGAAGCACACAGCAATGAGGTAAACCACATTCACCCATGTTAAAAATAAGCCATATAGAATTAATTCCTACTTCAGATAAAACTCCCATATATCGAGAGTCAAAGGTTTTACAAGAAAAAAAATACTAAGGTATCAGTCTAATAAAGAAGAGCTACTGAAAGTGCAAGGTCAGGTGGTTGGGACGTTAAGCAACTGAGGCCATGAAGTTTACTGGTTTCCTTCTGAACTGCTCTCTTCCGAGAAAGCAAAAGTCAAAACTGTCATATTATTCTCTAACTCTGTTAAATTGATGCATTCAGGCTCCTGTGTGCAATTCATTTTAAATTACCTCCTAAAATAAGGACTTGGCTTTCAGATTATGCATGCTAAGTAAGCCACTCCTCAAGAACTCAAGAAAAGAAGTAAACATTCAATTATGCCTATTCTGTGGAAAAATTACTTATCTTACTAAATCTCACATGTGGAATAATTTTCTAACAATAATAGTCACTTTGAGACCACAGCTTTGTCTCCTGGGTCAGACTAATCTGTTCTGTTTGCTCCACTTGAAAACTAAGCAAAAGAA